AGACAAACTTCTAATAGAACTTAATTTATTTTTAAACTGAATATAAATATTATTCAGGTTCTTCGATTTCTTCGTTTGTAACAACTGATCCTTATTACTACCTATTTGCTCATTATTCATTAAAATACGGACATAAAAGATCTGAGGTCATTCAATAGTTAGTCAAAAGTAACGTAATAGTATTATCACACTCACCAGCTGTCAAGAATAAAGAACTCCTAGCTAAGCTTTTCGCATCATATGCACCTAACCAGGTGATTCAGGTCATTGTATTATTTTCAGTATAAGGATGTGGAGATTACTAAGTTTTAATTGAGATAATGAATCGATCAGTGTTGGACCACCATTCAAAACTTGGAGACATTGGACGGCCGTTTCGCCCTAACATGAGACTTCTCTACAGTGCGCATCCATGATCCCACACGCGGGACTCGAACTAAGGACCATCGTTTTCTGATGCGAATGATCATCGTCTAGACCACTGGAAAATTATCGTGTGGCCACTAGTGACTAGCCTCGACAAGAAATCCTTGGGGATTCGGTGAGAAGCAATGACCCGAGGAGTCACTCCGTATCAGATGAAAGACAGTTACCCACCGAAGACAATGGAAGATGGTCATGCAATGTCGTGGATTGATTGAGGTCAGACATTAACACCGTTGAATCACAGCTGAGTGGTCTAAAGGTTAAGCATTTGCGCGTCATGGTTTCGGGTCCCACGTGTGAAACTGTGTATGCCCACTGCAGAGAAGTCGTATAACATCTTGTGTTTCCAGGTTTTCAATGGTGGTCTAGCTTAGACCAGTTTGTGATCGAAACTTAAAAAATTCTACAATCTTCACAAATCGTTTCATGCTAAATAAAAAGATGTCAACTGATTTGGTTATTTTGAAATGATGTTTTTACAGATATTTACTAAGTTCAATTTAGCACCAATTTACTCATATATTTTTATAATTTTTTCGGTTGTATGGATTTGAATCGTCCCGTTACTTATTTTAAGTACAGTAACTTTTTAGTCTATCCTACTGCATGTGGAATGGGTTCAGGAATAAACATTAATTCTGGGATAGCGATACATCCAAACAACTATCCCCAAAAAGAACGGAACGTGCTTCCTGTACTTAACTACTAGTCACTATCCAATTATACTTAAAAATTCCAGCTTTTTGCTTTTCTCACTTTCTGGTTGTCTGTTTATTTATCAAATTCAATGCCCAATAACATTTATCATCCATTTTGCTAGTAAACTACTTGAATACAAATGTAAAAACGTGTAAGACAAAATTTTAAATTATTTTTGATCAACGAAACTACAATACATTTCTGAAACAGATGAGAACGGTATGATAAGGAATTTTCCAAGCCAAATTTAATATTAACTTTTACGAACTATCATAAGTCTTTTGTCAGTCGAATTTCATTGTTCTGTTAATAAGTAGTGACAACAATTTGATGTCTGATAATATCACTTTTTTCAAACACTTCGCCTACATATTTTTAAAATTCGTACATATTAAATGATTATTTCATGGTTGACTTCACAGATTGATTTTAGTAAAACAACTATTAGAAACCAATAAGCACGTAACATCTGTTTAGTTATAATATAAGGCTTCCCAGCACTACACACCCAGGACCCTATCTTCAACCGAACCCAAAACAGTCAGGTCTTTCGGAAAACGTTTAATTTTTTGATCACTAGTGAATATTTCTAACTTTTAACAATTTGTAATAATGACTAATCATCTTCCAATGTCTTTATCGCATCTGAGCATGATCTTGGCACAATAACTGAAAAACCCGCAAATAGAATGACTTAATTAGGAATACGATGACGGTAGTTGGTGATTTGTTTGATGCTAAAAATTAATCAGAGATTAATATCTGAATATGTTAGTTTTTATCTTATCTACGCTGATTGACAGATGCATTTTTCAACATTAAACTGAGCAGCACTTGACACCAGTATATAAAATATCATAAAATTGAACGTTTTAGACTAACAGGTACATTTAATAATGATTACTCTTTCCTGAAATGTCATTATATATCGCAGACTATTGGGGAAAGGAAAGAACATCGCAAGCTACTGATACTGCAGTCAGTTAGACTGTCGATGACCACATCAGTTGTTGGTAGCTAAATGCCACACACTTGACTGAACTCAACAAGTCACGGTTTATCACCTGCACTTCGGGAATAACCACTCAAGGTTAGACATTAGTAAGCTTTTGATAATTTTTTAGTATATAGGTGGATTGGAAATTGTTTGCGAATCATCCCACCACCTTCGAAAAAAGTTGATTCACAGTGAAGATCATTATGTATAAGTTGACTTTACTGTGCTTGTACCCACATCAGTTAATTATCATCAAGTTACATTCTAGTTCTTGAATAATTTTTGTTTATTTGGTCAAACATTTCGTTACTTAAACATTGGAAATTGACTACTTTGAAGGGGGAAGCGCTTATATGTCTATCAAAACATTTTTTTCTAAATATTAGTGTTTTATGGTAATTAAGAACATTTGTGGCTCAGTAGGTGTGTTACGGATGCGTTATGTTATTTCAAAAGAATAGTTTGGTTTTAAAGTCTTGATTGTCTTTCTTAAAAAAATCAGTGGCTACAATTTCCGAGAGGACAATCCTACTCTACAAGAGAGTGTCTCAGAAGTCATAAGCAAATTATTTTCAAAGTATAACATTCAGGTCACTCATCAATAAACCGATATATCAACGTCGATCCAATTTATTAGCCAACAAGATAAAGTATGAAAAATTCAAAGGTCAGTGATATGATTTAAGGGGGAACCAATCAAATTCAAGATATGAAGAACGGCAACTTTATTATGGAAAACAATCATTCAAATTTCAAGTCAATAAAACGAGCTTTCGGCTAGCTGTAGAAAACTTCGAATAAGTCACTGCTTCTAGAAGTATTTCCTAATGATATTGTATAAGATGATAATGCAAACATCACAGAACAACCAGATCACAGAAGGTAACATCTCTAAAAAATGCTTGTATTTGTATCCCTGCTTATAATAATAAGTAATTCAATCAAATCTTATACTATTGTCGTTACAGTCATGAATTAACTAAGTAAGAATCCAAAAGATTATTCTTATGAATTAAGATTTTTCTAAATGAACAATTTATTCCTAAACAAGCCTTTTAATGGTAAATCCATGCTCCTAAAGTTCCAAGTAATTAACGGTTATTCAACATGTGAGTTTCTATACTTTTAAAGCTCATTAAGAAAAATTTAGCATTCAATCTTAAGGAAGTGTTGTGTTATGCAGCGTCCGAAACCTGTAACGATACATGATGTGATACTTGCTGACCCTCCAAATGACTACTCGAGTGAGAACACAAGAGTGAACGAGAAAGTGTATTGGACTTCTGAATTGAATGTACAAATACTCATTCATATATATACCACTCTATCCTTAGGGAATTGACTCATTGACACCAATGAAGTACACTTAGCTTTTAGGTCACTTCTGATTGCCGTCGACTGACCTTTTGCTATTTCTGATTTACTCTACATATCAGAAACATTTTATGCTTTTTACAATTTTTGATAATATATTCAGTGAAAATATGTTAGTTTGAATATTAATTTTTCTAAAGTTGTAAGTACCTGAAAATCGGTATAAAAATTCAAAATCAAATTAGTATTTTCAGTTGATAATGAAGCATGTTTAGTATGAATAAAGCAAATTCATTGTTTCACATTATGAAAAACTAATAGCAGATAATTAGAACCTAACATTTTAACTGAATAATATAAATTTATTTAATTTTGTTAGATCCTCGTCAGTTGCTTTGTGGTGTGTGTTAATTATATCGACATAAGTAGTATATAACGCTAGTCAGGGATAGAATGTCTGACAGCAGAATTTAGGAAGATCAAGAAGGAAAGAACGGGAACAGAAAGTAATTGGTATAGAAATGCATGAATATTAAAGTATGAGATGATTGACTGATATTTGCAAAAGGAACGGTGATGTGTGGGCGAGAATGATAATGATTGATTGTCTGCTTAATCAGACATGTTAATAGTCTGATAGGTGTAAGATGAGTTATATATTCCCTTATCCTTATTATTATTATTACTCACTTATTATTGATTGTTCATTGTTCTTGGATTGTGTCGGGTTTTTTGGTGTGGAAATATATTTACGTTTTGGTCAGGCTAATCACATGTTCTTGATCTGAGTTGTGTTGAAGTCCCGTAGAATACACACTGGGAGGCAATCTAGTGTAGATATTCGTCTAAGGTAAATTAACATCCCATATGTGTAAAATTGGAAGCCCGACCTTTATAACATTAGACGAAATAAAACCGAGTGTTATAACAAACAGTCAACTTTGAAGCAAGTGATTGAACCTAGTTAAATAATATGAATTCATATTCTAATAATCAAATAATTATTTATGCTTTATTTCTTTCAAGATAATAAAGGGAAGGAACCATTGTTTTTTTTATATATTTTGTTAAACGTTTACATTCACTATTATTCAAATACATTGCAACTAAGTATAATTCTATGTCTATTACAATTATTACCTTTTTTCCTGAATTTTTATTCGGATTAGTTATATTATAAACCGGATTATTGTAGGCGGCCCGCTTGGGTATCTGGGCCACCTGTTCCTGACATCTAGATATTTCAACAAGTTATCCATTTTTGTTTGTTTTGATATATATCATTATGTCTATTAATCGCATAACCTATCCTGGTGCATTTCTGAAAAGTGTACAACTTTTCGTTGTCAAAGTTACAAAAAGCCCAATAAGAGATAATGTGGTCGCTGGCAATATGCAGCAAAAACAATATACATTATTCTGATGTTCATTTACTGGCCTGCTAACATCTAACTGGCGATCACTCAATATTTATCGTCAGGATCGACCAACAAGTAAGAAACGGAAACTTGTTGAAATACTTTGTGCTGAGAATTCTATATTGTACCAAAAATATACTATTGAATAAAGCTTATAATAATAATTATTATTTGTATTTAATAAAAATCAATAAAATAAATTATTTCATAGAAAATGTACTACAATTTCATTATATAGAACTGAGATGATGAATATTATTCAATTCATTGAATTGATAGAATCATAAGTGTTTTTCTTCGTTAGAAATCAACATTGAATTATGAATGATCTGTTGAAAATAATGTGAATTTTCGTTGTCATAGCAACAGAATTGTGATTATATTTTTATGTAGAGACTGTTTGTGTATAGAAAATTAGACTTTTACTTGTATACACAATAATAAAGGTTAACAACATGGAAAGAAATAATCCTCTTATATCATAGTAATATAATAATATAGAACAATTTACTTTAAAACAAATCAATTATAAGAGGAAATAAAAGAGATTTATAGTATTCAACTTGTCTAAATTATATTTTAATATATGTGCTGATCAAATGGAATATCAGCATACCCTGTTGAATTGCGTTATCTGTTTTTAGCTTTTGAATGATACCCACACACACAAAAAAGCATAAATACAAAGAGGTAACATAAATTATGTTTTATTACATCAATATGTAATAACCAAAACATAATATAATATAATTAACCTAACATGGAGACATGTAATCAAACAAACACACACACATATATATATACATACATGATACATATCTTACATTGCTTGTCTACTTTGTACAAATGTAAAATCATTTATACTAGATTTGTGTTGATGAGGATGATAAGTAAAGAAATTGGAATGTTTTAAGATATTACCATTAAGATATTATTATTATTATTATTATTATTATTATTATTATTTCGTATTGTAGACCAAGTAGATAAATTTACATATCTATCTAATTTATAATCATCAATTTGTTGATTATTGAATTCATTTTGTAATTTATTCTGACTAGTATAAGTTTCATTTTGATTTGAAGGAATTACATTGTCTATATAAAAAGATGTTGATAAACTATCAATTTTATCATTTGCATATTGATCATTACGAATAGAAAATGAAGAAGGTATTATTGAATTCAATTCATTTCTATGATCATTTAAATACCCTGTATGATAGAATGAAATATTTTGTTGTAATTGATTTTGAGAATAATGATTATTTTGATAGTAATCTTGTTTCTCTAATTCATTAATTTTAACATTCTCTATTGATTGTAATAAATGTGGTTCATTTGTTGAAGTAGATTGTTCATGATGTTGAATATGATTGTTATATTCTTCATTATATCTATGTTGTGTACAACGATAAATAAGGAAACCAAATGAACTGATTAAAATTAAACCTGTTAAAATTAAACAAATAAATAACCAAATATTTAATGATTTTGTAAATGTTATTATGGTTGGTTGAATTTCAGAATTAGGTAATAAATCATTTGAATATGATGATGATGATGATACAAGTGGTGATGGATTCCGTGAAAAATCGTCTTTGTTTGTACATGATGAACATTTATTTCCATTTGCATTAGGTATATTGAAATCTGTAATAAAATCATTTGAAATTGAAAGTGGACTGAAGATTGAAGACGTAGATTTCGACAGTTGTAATGGTTTTTTTCTTTTCCGTAGATTGGATTTACTAAAAGAATATTGGAATAAAAAAAGTTAATTGAAGGTTCAGTGCTTGCTAACAAAAATGAAATCTCTAGGTTTGATTGCTAGTAAAGTCGTAAATATGTAATGACTAAGAGTTTCACAGTAAGATCGTAAAGCTTTCCATCACTTTCTGGTTTTAAATGGTTGTTTTACTAATATTACTTTTTGATGCTAACTATGAAAATTCAAGTGCTAAACAGTGACAGGGTTAAGCTTCAAGTTTGACAGTGTGTTCGAGCCGCTTATTCTAATAACGACTCCAGAGGTTAGTTTGATGTGTTCTGAAATAATCATTTAATAGTTGTTTTACAGTAATACTAAGTATTAAACAATTCCCATTAACAATATGATCGCTGTTCATCTTCTTTCACTCAATGGTACTTTACTAGAACAATTTTGCAAAAATGTGTAACTATGAGATTAAACGTTGAATCAAAGTAATTTGATTGAAAATTTGATTATATGAACTAATAAGCGTTTTTACTTATCAGTTTAGACGCATCGTACTTGTCGCAGAAGTTGAAGGTTATAGGTTAGACTTCAATTTGTTAGGTTGTAAGTGCAAGCCAAACCAATGGACGTAACATAATATTATTTACTGTATGCTTTCCAATGATTTCTCAACTGAAACTAATCCATATTTAGAAATGCCTTTAAAGATATATGGGTTATCTTATAATTCCATTTCTTAAACACAGTAAATAAGATTGGTTTAAACTTAAGTTTAAGGATGGAGAATCACTGTTTAGACTATCTTCAACAAAGTGGTTTGCTTATAAACTGCATTTTAAAGTGTTTTTTTATTAGAAATAAAAGATCTATATGTCGATTGTGAAACCTGTGTAAGATGTTTTTGTTCTAAAAAGTACCATACTCTTTCATACATTGAGTATTAGTAGTAAATATTTAGTACATAAAAAACTACTGATATGAAACTATAGTATATAATATTGTATAATTTTGATTATTCTATACAGAGAAGAAAATACTTACGTGTAAAATGGACTATTTGGTCCTAATTTCAATTGAAATGTATTTGTATACTCTACTTCAGCGTATCGCGTAACTTTAACAAATGTCAGATGCTGTAAACCAGATGCAAGATCAGTTAACCGTAATCCATTGTAGTAAACCCCTAAAATAAAAATGCAATCCTAATGAAGAACAGGGAGGTCTTCTTCCATTCTCTAATGAAGTAAAAGGTACGGATTTCGAGTTTCATTATGAAAATTTATGCACTCATATCAGATTGAACTGATAGTCACTATTAAACTTAAAAATACTTGACTAAACGACGATCTAGTCAGGATACACATATGTCAAGAGACTCTGACCAACTTTTGTCATCAAACCCTTACAGATGACGGTATTATCCCTAAAAACGTTTTGTTCGATATCTTGCTCTATAAATTGTAGATAATTCAACTTATTCATAATTAAAACATAGATTAATAACGAGGTATACTAATATAGATGGTTAGTGGGAATTATAGGATTCTCATAGTTTGAATCACGTGCTGACATTAGCCAGACCCTGAATCAAAACCAGGAAGTGTTGAACAGCTATTTTGTCAAAACATACGACACTCCAGAGCCAGTCTGAAGTCCCAGGATCAATCTCAGGAGTGGTTATGGATCAGAACTTCTGAGGAGTTTCATACTAGGAAAAAAGGGCTGTCCACTCCTCCCTGGTTTTCGAAAGTGGTTTTGCTTAAATCAGTTCGTCACTTACACTATGAAAATGAAGTACTTTACCAATAAATGATTCTCTGAGAAAATTAGTCAACAATGAAATATAAATGGAATTTTCATTATTTTTAATAGCTTACCACGATAGTGAATAGTGTTAAGAATATAAATATAGATCTGAAGCAGCCGTTCGATTGCTACAACTTATCGAATTTCAAGTTCAGTTCATTACCATGTATTGGTCACTTACACTAATTTTCAAATTATAATTGTTTCATGGATCCCAGAAAACAATCAGTTACAATCTTATAGTCAATTATTATAAAGTTATATATAACACAAAAGTTGACTTTCACATTCAAAGAATAATGATACTTTATCAAGTTATATTTATTGTTTTTAAAAATTCGACTTCAGTAAAGACAGTTTTTTTCACAGATAGAATATCATAGAGAACTATAATAGCCTTTTCTTAATGCTATACACTACACAGCTACGCTCTAATAGACATTTTAAGAGATCATACGTGTTAAATACCAAAATAATTTCAACTTTTATCTCCTAAAGAACGTTGAGTGAATGGAACTGTTTTAGAAAAAGTGTTTTTAAAGGAACGTTACATTTCTATGGAATCTGAAATATAATAGGTGCAAAAAAGGTAGATGGATAAAGGTGCTGAAGTGTGTCTATGATAAAAAAAGTTTTTCAATATAAAACTAAGCAATATGAATTAGTATTGATATATATCACAAGATTTGTTAATAAGTATTACGTTCGAAACATTATACTGTTAGTTCCTAGTTTCAATTATTAGATTGTCCTAGTCTTGCTCTCGCATTATTGCTATTCATTGTTGATTGCGATCCTTCATAAATGTAATTTCATTCCATATACTGAGTCGTCAGCTCTATCACATGTATTGCTTTTCACACTCTCCTCAGCACACAATATATATATTCAAGTCAGATACTGGTCTACTAAATGCTGAACGTTCCAAATATATGCATAATAAAAACAATATGCATAATCACAGAATTAAACGAAATAAACTATATACCTGTTACATAACCTTGTATGAAATCCGAACAATTTGACAATGGTGAATGACCCAACCAAATAAAACGTGTTTTCAAAAGTGAAGTAAATTCATCTAAAGTATGTAATAAATAAATGGAAGATAGAAGTCTAAAAAAAATAGTTTTACTAATTAGAACCTCATTATCTAAAATAAACAAGAAACTGTTTTTTAACTATTTGTTTTCTTAAAATATTTTAAGGTTATAGACATTTCAGATTTCTAGTATATCTATGAAAATGAGTACACTGGCTGGTTATCGATTGGTAATTAATCTCATGTTTATTCAACCCTTCATAAGGATCTCAATCTAGATAACATGTACAATATGATCACCTGTTGAAATGATGCAACATTACTTGCACTGTATTTTGATGTTAAATGGATGAAAGTAGATGGCAAGAAATATTTGACCAAGGTTTCGTGTTGGTTCGCATTTATAATTAGGGAGCATATGCAATATTAAGTAAAGTAATGTCCTCTGTGAAATTCTGATCCCTACCAAGATGGTGAAAATACCCTGCTGGCAAGAACTAACTATCAAAAAACAAAGGTTCAGGATATTCTGACTACTGCCCCCGATCGTCTAACATGTAAACAAGTTTCTTTGATTAGGAGTGATTTAAATAGTTTTTTTCTTTCTTGTACTGCTAATTTATTTACCAATATCTCAACATGAAATGAATTAGTTATTTTAGGAGTATTTCTACTTTTCGAACGTTATCAAATTCACTATACAATTTACAAGTACTTGATTCATTTTTTGGTATATCTTAAACAAAGGGAAAACCCCTTTTTATACTTTGTAATAGCTACATAAAATGTAATTATGCATAACTCAACGTGATGAAGTATTTTCATAGAACTATTTTTTTAATGTACAACTTCTTACACTTCATACTCGCAGTCCGCTTTGTTCACTTGAAAAGGAGTAAGAAGAAATAGTTAACTAATTAAGCGGCCCAATATCTGACTCCAGTTTGATCGTGTAATTAACGTTGTCGACTTATAAATGTTGGCAATTGTCGCATATAATTAAATTGTGTTAGTGAATAACAGAAGTTTGAAACTAGGGGACACCAGAAAGTGATGTTTCCGCAAATCCAAAGTAACTCGATCCATAACTGCTAGGTAAGTAAACGCTAACTGGTCAGAATTCGCACGAAAATTGAAACCAATGGTCGAAGACTTTATTTGAAATGGTTTAGAACCGATCACAATGGCTCACATGCATTCACTTTTTGCTTCTCTTTAAATTTTGAGTTTTAAGACTATCTAATAATTTCTGTTATGTTAATTCATTTTTTCTTTTCAAATCAAATTGTCTATGACTAATCTTTGCTACTATCATCGGTATTATTGTGGTGTGTGCTATTGATGATGATAGATATAAATAGTATGTATCATCAATTGAAATTGAAATACCTGGAAGCAGAAGGTCACGACGGTAGAAGAAAGGAGTACAATAACAGTGACTGATTGGTATAGAAACTATGGAACAATGAAGTCTGAGACGATTGACTGATATTTTGTAAATGATCTATTTTCTGAATGGTTCTCAGATTTTACTAAGAGATTCTGTAATTTTGTGCCCAAATACATTCGATTGTCCCCACTTGTGTTCTCGTTCACTACACTATTACTATTTTTGCTACTCTCGTATTTGTGTTGATAGCTTCATTTCACTGTACTAATGTGACACAGCAACTTGAACCGGTACAATTTCTTTTCGGGTACTTCTAATATGACTGAATGGCTGTCATTTTTAGCATATTCCAACTTTCCTCTAATTGATATTATAAAAAGTAGATTCTTGTTATTTGCTTTATTATAATACTTTGGGGAACAACGGTAGTGCATATAATCCTGTCAGTTCAAACTTGACTATACTATTTAATAAGTTATGTTATCTTCATTAACTTTTGTCTCACTGTTACAAGACATGATACTTCATACTAATATTATACGGTGTACAACTTTAGATTGATTAAAACTATAAACAATAACAAATTTTTTACTTCAATAATCTTTCACTGAAATAGATTTAGCTTTTTCATAGTTTGCTACACTCATCTTAGTAGAACAACTACCAGAAACACACAGGACAGTTGTGTTGCCTTATTATTAGAATCCTCAGCAGTGTGGACCCAGAACCGTGATGGGGACCAAACCCAGGGCACTCATCTCTTCTGAAGAACACTCAAACTTTTAATCACTTAGCTGGTATCCATTGATTTAAATCTCTAACTTCAAGCAATCTTCAATACCACTCAATGACAATGCAAATTATCCATCTATATTTCGGATGAAAATATATTTCTGTCGAAAATTCATTTATTACAAATGAAAGAGTAAAGTAATCCACTTCTCTTTTAATAACCTGATTGAACTGTAGACAATAGAATATTTTAAGAAAAATCAGTGATAGATAAATATTTAACCTACTGTACAAACGATAAACAGTTTGATATTGATCTACTTCAAGGAGAATCTGATTTCTGGATCTAATTCCCCGAATCCTATGATAATATCCATCTTGTACATTGATCTTTGGACCATCAATAACAATCATTGAACCATCCAATAAAAATTTCATTTTAAATATCCTTGTTCCTGTAAGCATTAAATTAATTTTTTAATAAATATGGACTAATAATGGTCCTACACTACAAAATGGGATCGGAATTGATAAATACTGGAAAAATTAATACCTTAGTGTTAGGTACACATTTTCTGGTGTTTAAATCATTCAACACTAAGTAAATGGAAATAGTCATGATAACGTATTGAAATCTGTTGTAGAATTATTGAGAGTTAGATTTCCTTAAAAAATTTTGGATTTCTTCCAATAAGCACAATACCTTAAATCACTGAGTAATGACCAATATCATGTTTGTCTAATCCCTAATGCAAGTTTGCCTTAATAAGTACCAAACAGCATGAAATCTAAAACTTTGATTTTTACGACAACTATTTCCAGTCATCCAAAATCAAATCGATATATCTAAGCCCTTATGTTATCTCTAAAACATCTCTAAATTATGCTCAAAAGAATTAAAACCATCGTGTTACGATGTCTAGAAAGACATAATAGATACCTAAGTGTATCCCCGGAACATAAGATCCCACCGTCTAAACTATTCACAAACAGCCTAGTCCATATCCTGACTGACATCGGTAGATCCTGTGTCACAATTTGTAGGTCATTGTAAATCACTGATAAGAAGCGAAAGTTTCCAGTATTTCTTTCTGGATGAAAATAACAATACACTTGAAAAATCAACTTTGTATCTTACTGGAAGCGTCATGGATTACATACTGTTAGTGTTTTATCAATACGTTAAAACATATTTTGTAAATAGGCACATTAAAAATACGTTTTTATCACACATACTACCTTGAGAGTTCTTAATAATTCAGTCTATCAAATGTAATCTAGCTATACAAAGATAATCATTCACTTACTAAATAGATATGAAGATAAGTCAAGTTATTTTGAAATTGATTTCCAGCAAATAACAAAGTGATAAAATCATTATCAATTGATTTCAACTTGTCAGTATGATGCAACCTTTTTATATCTAATTGTAGTCCGAAAGTGAATATATCATTTACGGTATATAAATCATTGTACTCAATTTCAAACTGTACAAATCCAGTATATTGTTTTGCATTAGTTAAAGTTTCATTAGAATTGAACAAATGGGCATTGATTGAACCGATTTTACCAAAATGCAAAGTCGTACCAACTAGTTAAATATAATATTTTATTAAAAAAAGCCAGAAGAGTTAATTATTTGAATAAATGTACATAATTCAAGTTTACTTCTTAGTTTTACAAGTATATTTGACATCACAGATTGATCTTAGTTAGACAACTATTGAAGATGAGAAGGTACTGGATAGTGGTTTCGTCCACTTCAAATTATAATAAGTATTAAAATTAGACATGTAAACGATTGGAGGCCATCTCAGTGATATTAGGCTTAAGCGCTTACTAGATAGTCTGAACCAACCAAGACGGCCCAGCCCAGCAAAGAATGACAACATAGACTCATGCCATACCTTGGTTCGGTCAGCTTCCCAGCTTTCATCTAACTTCTCCTACATTAAAAACAGAGCATCGAGGTAGGCAATAGTTAGAGATATGTTAATCATGTCCCAATCACATCAATCAGTGGAATGTGCCTTAAACGGTAACAACGCTTCAATATAAGAACCTTCTTTGTTTTTTTTTTTGAAAGTTCAAGTATTCAACTTAATACCGCATGATCAGTTAAGCTAAATAAAAACCACCTTTGCCGAAGAATTTCGGCTTAAACAAAAAACATCCTGCTATATATCAATTACATTTATTGTAACTTACGTAAGTATAACTAAATGAATAGAATTAGGTAGATCAGATAGATAAAAAAATATAAAACTTGAGTTAATCATAAAGACTGTCGATGAATTTAATTGTAAATAAAACATATTAGTCTATCGATTTTTATACGACGATACCTTGATCTCATCAATTCATCCTTCAATTTAAATGACTTCAGTTTATTTGACATAATTTCTAGCATTAGTTTTGTATTGTAGGAATTCAGTATAAGAGGGATTTATCTTAACATTTTAAACAACATATTTGTGAAAAGATTACTCTACATACATTCATTCTTCATCCTCCTTTACAACTTGAGTTTCAATAGTGTTCTAAAAAATTGATTACTCTTTGAGACATATTCTTCATATTGAATAGTTTACCCCACTACAGACACTACTATGTTCATAATATATTTCCGTTGATAATGTTTTGCCAGTTTTAACTGATCAGTGTTTATGCCATGTCTTACATTGTTTTAGACTGACAGACCACCTTCTAAAGCTTGTACTTGACTACCAACAGGTTTAGTTCACTTGCTAAACGAATTCATTAAATTTTCAGTTTATTTTATTGAATTATGTTTATTTGATTTTATTGATAATGAAATGATTCAGATTATTCATAAGGTTATCAATATTCAATTAGTGAGGTGTATCTTGTACTTTCGAATTCTTGGTGTAAAATTTTTTACACTCAAATCTTCATTTAAGGTATTTAGATTTATCCTCTACTGCCTGTAATTCACATATCGGTGTAGAGCGATTCAACAATTTGGATGAAGAACATTCATAAAAATTAGGGCTAGAAATGAAAATTCTAATAAAAATTACACTTTAACATCTGACACTCACTCATTAACTGTCAAAATTACTGCATGCAACACACATATTGAATATTGAAAGTGTTAAAACTAATCTAAATCCATAAAATTCTTAACTGAAATAAAATAGCTTTACCTTCGTTACACTGATGACCTTGAAACGTAGTCAAATCACATGCACAATAAAATGTATTTAATTTGTCCAAACATTCTCCATCATTATAACACATATATACATTTCTCGAATCATCGCTAGATTCTAAATCATGAAGACTTGACTGAAATGGATAGATATTATTATTTCTATTTTGTGATGATGCACAACCAGAAGTCATTGATTCACATCCATATACTATATGATCGTTACAATCAAGACTCGGATAAATTTTAGCCATTTGTAGAAGATTGATTGTTGGATGGTGATTCAATTGGAAATTGGCAATACAACCCTATGGCATTATTTTTTTTATTGAACAAAAGTAAGATAACAATTAGTAAATATTAAAATTTGTAAATACTTATTACGTAGTCGTAAGCTTTATCTTCGTCAATAATTTCCATCAATAATACATTGTTGAATTTTAGACATTATCAAAAAGCATGACTACGGGAGTTACGCAATCGTATGAATGAGAAATGTAAACCTCAGCTAAGCTGTCTGATGGTTAAGTGCTTAACGCGAGATCTGATTACCCTGGGTTCGATCCCTGCTGAGGAGTCCCATAATAGGACGAAACGGCCGTCCAGTGCTTCCAGGTTTTTCATGGTGGTCTAGCTTGAATTGACTCATGACTTCAACTAGTGAAATTACTAAAATCTCCATGAAACTCCTTCTAGTAACTTCATATTTATCAAGTTCTGTGATATTGCATAAAATCATAAAAGTCATGAATTAACTTTAAATAGTTTAATTATATCAGTTACATATTTTTCAGATATTAACTAGTAATAAAGTTCAATGTCTGTTTGATTTTATCTAGAAATCGACAGTCGATATTTATTCTATGATTTATACTTAACGCTTTCAACTTCAGTACACTGTTTAGTAGGCTGATTAGCCATGATAGCTACCAATTTATTCAACACAAATGATATTATTCAGCAGGATTAGATGGTGGCTAACAATGAAATCCAAGATAAGCTTTTCATCTTATTTAAGGCTCCTCAATTTGGTGTATCTGATATCAAATTTATTATTGTTTATAAGAGTTCATACCTATATTCGAATAGTGATTAATAAAACCCCGTTTTAAATATATAAAACAATAAAACACCAACTTCAGGTAGAAGTCTATCTGAAGTGTATGCTGATGAAATCGTTCAGAAGAACATTGAAAGCTCCACGATCAACCATTCAGCTTAAAGTACAAAACTTTATCAAAATCATCCACCTGAGCTACAAATCTTTTTCACCATCTCACAATAAAACACCAAACTATTACATAAGATTTATTATTTCAATTATATTTTATATTCTATTACATGCATATTTAAATAAACTTACTTGAAAGTGAAATCTAGATTTGATTTTACCTTGAAATTTCATAAAATCTGACAAAGAACAACCACCAATATTGATTACATAATTTGAAAATGATTGTTTATAATTAAGCAATTCATTTAAATCTATATTAGTGGATGTTTCAATTGATGTTTGTGTATTTATTCGAATTGTCAATATGTCACTTACTTCATTCTCTCTGAAATTAATAAACAGAATTAAAAAAAACTGTTGTAATTTTTACATATAGAACTTCAGTGTAAAATTAATCCAATGCGGGCCCCAAGCTCGAATAAAGGAGGAGGGTTGGACATGGGTTAACTACCTCATCCTGTAAGAAACTAACTCTCTAAAAATCGCTAACCAGAAAAAAGTAATTGTTATTTGAAATACGTACTTGACCTCAATATTATGGTTGGGTGAAACCATACAGTTTAATAATTAAAGTTAACATTTTGATTAGAAGAATTATTCTCTTTTCTGCAGATACACATTATACATATGTGCAACAAATTACTTGCAAATTATTATTAATCTCCTTAGTTAAACATTTTATCATGAGACTATAATTTATGAATGACCTTTAAGTGACGCCTTGGTGAACTTGAGAATGTCCACCTACTTACTAGGGCTAAATAAGGGTTATGAAGCAGTGTGAAGATTTACAGCAGATGGTTAGGATTGGTCATCAAATTTATAGTTGTCATCACGAACTGATATCGGCTAAAATACCAAAACGTTAGTTAGACAAATGGGTGAATGTATTCCGTGCCAAAATCCAAGACCTATTATTTCGAAATCTGATTGGTTCGTCTATAAATTGTAGTCTTGCCATTTAATCTGAGTTTTCAATAGAATATTGTGGAAAAATTATCTATTATTTTAGTTATTCGTTTATTGTTTGTGTTATAGCTTGATAAATGAACACTTGATTCAATGGATTGATTGATAATATTATCATTACTATTATTACTATTTCTATTATTATTATTATTATTATTATAGTTAACAAATGAACATAACCAACCAAATATCATGAAATAATCAGTATATTGAACTAGATGAAAAACACTCAAAATCCACCTGAAATTTATTACTTTACACATTTAAATAGAGCAGTAAGACAATATTAATTGCAAAATATATAATTAATTCATTGTATAGTTACATTCTATTCAACTAAACACAACCTACTACGTTTGATCAGTTTGAATTATTGAAAAATTTGAAATTCGAATGAGAAAGATCTACAAGATCTTACAATAGAGAGTTAGATGTATAGAATGTTCGACAACGGAACATATGGTAAATGTAACAAATACATCCAAATAATCAATAAACAATCTAAGTGTACAGCAGTAGAACCCAGGACGCACACTTCGTCCTATTAGAGACTCGTCAGCTGAATGTACTTGAATCTCGGATTTGATGTTCATTCTGGCACTTGAACACAGTACCATTCGCTTCAAACGGTACTGCGTTATCTGCTCAGCTACTGACTCCTGATAGCCACTTGCTTGTGTAATGGGGTGAAGTTTAAATTCACTTAGTGTTCTTTTACTTACATGTCCCTATTGTTATTTAGGACTGCAATTGATCAGTCTCATATTGGCATATGTGCATCATGTGCGGATTGCTTTGATATAGTCTTAAGTCACAAGCTTTTTATGCAAGATGGTTAGTGTCTAGCAGTAGAATCCAGGACGCGAATTTCGTCCTATTTTCGACTCGTTAGCTGGATGCACTTGCATCCTAGAGTTGGTGGGAAGATACAAATTTAACAACAACAAGTGAATTTAATATGTTATTATTTAATAAAATATCAAACAAAATCTTTCTTACTGTGATAATTCAACTGTATACCATTGTGAATCATTAAACAATACTTCTTTATTTATTGACAATGTTGTTATCTTCTTTGTTATTTGTTCATTATTAAAATGTATTGAGAATAATAAATGACCACTGAATAATTCAATAAGTAGAAAATTGTCATTTAATTTGTTTAAAATAAATAATAATATACCTTGATCAATTGATGTTTTAAAAGAAAACTTAACAAGTAATGGCACATTTTCGAAATGTTTATTGATTATTGAAAGATAACATTTGGATTGTTTAAATTGTACAGGGAAGTCATAACTGGTTGGCTTAGATCCTACGTTATATTCAAATAATTGGGCAGTAAATTCAATCACCCATTGATTAAGTGTAAATTCAAAGTTATTTTCTAAATTACTTTCATTTAATGGATATTGAATGTGTACATGTTTTTTCTTGTATGACATTAATTCGATACCATTGTATAAAAAATGAGCAATATTACCATTATAACTAGTAATTTGGTTAACCTTAGAATTTATTGGTAATAATGACGATTCATATGAATTGGATGATCCGATAATTATTTGTTGAACAGGTAATTCTGTAATGGTTAAATTTGTCCCTATAAAAATAAAGAATAGAAAAAGGAGAACAGTTATTATTTTTCTGAAAGTAAATTTTTATTTTTGAAAAAACTGAATTAAAAGAATAAAATATTTTTGCGAAGATAATTTAGTTTGAAAAGTAATCCTTCATCGAGATACTCGCAAGTTCATGATTTGATCTCCGGTTGAGTTGTGGTCATGCATTACTGAAAAGTCTTATGCTAGGATAGGACATTTATCTAGAACTTTCTGATACTCATCAGTGGTGGTTTAATCAAGATCTAGTGCATTTCACATATAAACGCTCCACTCATTTTACACTTACCTACTAAGCTTAGATAGCCAGTGATTGATAATTTGTTGACTTTAACTATGAGAAAATATCTATTGTTCATGAATTTTAATAAAAAAACTTCAGACAACTAAACAGGTAGACTATTAATAAACATGTCTCTTGATTATTATATAGTTTTTAGTTTACCTACTTTATTATTTCATTTATTTTAACACATAGATACTGGTTCAAGGAGGCACCAAATACATATGCGCCACACAAATCTCATTCGATGTGTGAGGGCTGTGATACTGTCCGGGTGCCTAAACCGAACCAGGTGGTTTTCTTAGAGGGCCACTCCCCGAGCCTTCGACCTGAAGGTCTGATCCACAAGGCAGTGGAGCATCGTAAGGAGGATGCAGTCCCATGGTAGCTGGTGACCAACAATTGGTTCATACGCCATTTGTTCCTTCAGGATACTGGAGCCCATGTGCACCATTGGTCTGGAATCCGGTTAAAGCGCCGGACATTCGCTTTTCGTCCTCTCATTTTCGTAACCAACACCCCTGCTACGAGAAGGCAGTGAGTAGGACTTCCCGGGCAGAGGATCAGTTCACCTATACATAACGTTTATAACATTTAGAATAAGCGATCAGAAATACTGCTTACATCACAAACGCTTAATACGTTTTACCATTCTTAAATATTATCTTATATGCATATGGTATCAAAATATCTTGCAGTCACCAATGTAAATCATAGTGTTGATTACTGTTGAAGAAGATATGCAGCTCAGATAGATACTTTTGGTATTGTTGAATCCCCCAAGTTAAACGGTTTAATTGAAGAACATTCAATGTTGTTCATGATAACATCACCAGAACGTACTTCACATAGAAGTTCAGATAGATACTTTAGGTATTGTTGAATCCCCCAAGTTAAACAGTTCAATTGCAGAACATTTCATGTTGTTCAATGATAACATCATCAGAGCTTACTTCACATAGAAGTGAGCTTCTTAATTATTCCATACGTTTTAAATTATTTTATCATAATGATTACCATCATAATTAATAATTGTTTCATCTAAGGAAATATTTTAGCAAGCGTAGATAATTAAATTTATTTGATTTCAATCACAATGCAACAAAAGAAGAATATAATTTTCTAGCTTATATACTACTAACTTTAATCTAAATACTATATTAATTTTTTCCAAAATGATTTAATTTCACCCTCTGTAAAGTGTAACAATTTTATTCTCTATCAAAATACAATTGTATAAGTGTAAACTAGTATCAAATGAATTAACATAAACATTGATTGATAAATGCAAATGTAGAACAACATATATAAGCGAACGATATTGTTTTCGATTAGATCCTCATCAGGTTTTACTCTAATATACAGTAATATTTATGTGCATATATGAAATCAAAGTTACGTTTCACGGTTCAATTATTTGAACACTTGTTATTACTTCTTATTACGTCATCTTGTAATTTTATAAATGTTATCTCACTGTCTCTATTTTTCTAATCACTGACCTATTTCTGATTATGTAACATAGATTTGAGCCTTTATTATTCTTATCAAAACTAATGTACCTGTTATCACACTACCAATTTGTACTTTTCACTTATTATGTATTATCAGAAGGGGTTTGTGGAGATTTTAGAAATTTCACAGATTGAAATCATGAGTCAATCGAAGCTAGACCACCATGGAAAACCTGGAGGCACTGGACGGCCGTTTCGTCCTAGTATGGGACTCTTCAGCAGCGCGCATCCACGATCCCGCAATGGTACACGGTGGCGCAACTTCGTGGATTGGTTGATGTTTGACATTATCACCATTGGATGCCGGCTCAGTGGTCTAGTTGGCTAAGCGCTTGGTGCAAGAGTGACAGGTCCTGAGTTCGAATCTCGCGCTGGGGATCGTGGATGCACACTGCTGAGGAGTCCCATAATAGGACGAAACGGCCGTCCGGTGCTTCCAGGTTTTCCATGGTGATCTAGCTTCAATTGACTCATGATTTCAATCTGTGAAACTTATTATGTAATCGTCTTCATTGTTATCATTGACTCATAGGCTACCTTGATTGGTTTAATAATTTCATATATGTATATAAATATTACTGTATATTAGAGTAAAGCCTAATGAAGATCTAATCGAAAACAATATTGTTCGCTTATATATGTTGTTTTAAATTTACAATATGGGAATATTTCAAATGCGTATATAATTTTCTCTATTAAAAAAATATTCCTATAAAATGTATACCTACTTTGACTAAATACATTTTTATCCAAATAAACAGTTATATATGAATTGTTATGAATCAATTCAAAATAATGCCATTTTCCATCGGATAAAAAGACAGGTAATTCATATACCTTATTGAAAAGAAAAATAAAGAAATATTAATCATATTCACATAAAGCTCAGTGATTATGTAAAATAGAAACAGAGGTAATTAGTTGTTTTCACAGTTAGTTAATCAATAAAGTAACTAATTGGGACCTAAAGTAGGTTTAATGTTTACAATTAATTATACTTATTGTAAAGAGTATCATTAATGCAATAAAAGTAGTACATTTATACGAGGAATCATATGACTGAATTAGATATCTGTTGGTTGATACAATAAGATTGTGGATTTATATCGCTACGTAGTTTGAATTATGCTATTGGATAGTTTTTCCGTTATTGATTGACCAATCAGTATAATATTTAATCATTTTTCATTTTTGTGCTTCATTAAGACAAAAGTTATTGCTAGGATCAGTCTAAATCGTTTTTCATTATTATTTAGGATAGATCGTTCTTTAGTTCATTAAAAGCAGATCACAACAAATTGTTTGTGCAGACCACAATTCTATCTAATAAACTAACAATCGAGTAATGTTTACTGATAGGGGTTTTTTCATGTAATTGACTCGTTGACATATATTCTATGTCTTGGTGAAAACATTTCATTGTTATATTTAGCATTTATATTGAACTTACAGGTATGATTCTAGAAATTTACATTATTTCCTGTATGGTGCTCCTACATTAGATGGATTCTTTCATGCATCATGACAGTAAACAATAATTAACAAGTCATACAAACAGATAATGATATTTAACTTAAAATGATAATATTGAAAATAGAGTCAATACAAAATGTCTAAAACAACTTCGTCTGAAAATCTCCATAAATAGTTAAGTGTCCTGCTATCTTAGCGACAAAACGTGATTCCTACTTATAGAAGGGAAGTATTTTTTGTGATAGACTTCTTTTAGTGAGAACTAATTTAATTTATGGTTAGCTTTCGTTATAAGTTTATGACACTATGAAATACTAGACGATTATTTCGTTCTAGTTGTGACTTCATCAGTGAGCACTCAAAACATTCATACACTAGAAAAATTTTAAACGTTTCGAGCCTTGACGTAAACAGAATGTTTTTTTAGACCACTGAGTTTGAATCGAGTAGATCATTTTATCAATATCCATCGACTCACAACTCTACGTATTTGCTAAAAGACCCTTAAGTTACTAATTTTCAATGATCTTACAGTTGAAATCAGTCATTGGTTGAAATTATCTACAAATCGAAGTATTTTGTTTAGGAACTACTGAATAAATTAACACGGGAATGAGTGTACATTTAGCTGCTGAATCCTACATAGAATGAAACACTCTTGCTTAATTCCAATTCCAGCCACAATTCATCTATTCTAACAAGCTTCCAATTCAATAACTTAGTCTAAAAAAAGTTCATAGGATACACATGTGTCAATAGAAAATTCTCTCCTGAATGTCAATAACGAGATGATTTGATTCTCTATTAATATATATCTTTAAAAAAAATTACAAATCTTTAGAATAAAAAACACATCAAATTATTTCATTTTCTAATCCATTACTAATCTATGTAGTCGAGTTCATGTAGTTTAACAATTTTTATAATAATTTCACAGCCTACAATTAGTAAACAAGTTTGTAGTGGCTGTGCTTCGTTAACCAATCACCCTCGTAACCGCTATCATATAATCCTCAAGGGTGTTTGAAATCAGAAGGTAAAGAGAAGCAGCGGCTACAGTTTTATTAGCAAACAACTCAGACCACAAAGCAGTGAGGCGGTTGAATGAGTCAGCGAACCGAGAGTGTAAAGTGTAAATGTACATGTATTTATATAGGGAAATGAATTGATCATCAAATCAATTAAGCAGCTAATAATAAAGCTAGTAGAACGAATATATGCGTAGGCGGTAAGTAATGTTCAAGCATACATATTTCATACAAGCACAACAATAATAAAGGTACAATAAGTTGTTATCGTACGGATGACTTTGCCCGCTAAGTTAGTTAACAAAAGGGCTTAACCGAGTTAAATGAGAACAAACTCAATTGTATGTGAGTTGCTATAAGTTAAAAATATGAAACTGAAATAATTTATAAACGGCACAAGGTTCGAGTCCTGGGGTGAGCATCAACTTTAGAATATAAGTATATCCAACTAACAAATCCCAAATAGGACAAAACACTCATCCTAGATTACACGACTAGTCCCTATCCATCTTTGCTTATAACTTAACAACCTGTTCTGTATTAAAAAAGTTACCTTACAAAATAATATAACTGTTTCTTTTTTCTAAAAAACAAAACTTATCACATCCATTATGATTAGACATACTTCATGTTGATTACTGACAATATATTTCACATGTATATAACCATTTACAAGTGATATTTCAAAGTTGTCAACCGTCTCATTGTAAATGAATTGTTGATTCATTTTTTGTTGTTGTTTTAATTGTTGTACAGGTAAAATAAATTGATTTATCTCTTCATATGTGAATATCTTCTTATCTATTTTCTTTGATATAAACTTATCTATCATATTTAATTCATATTGTAAATTAGGTATTGTATATAAAATAGTTTCATTTAAATAATTCGTTTGAAACATAAATACAATCCATAATAATGATGAATATTGTTGAACAGGCAATTGTATACGTATTAATTGTAATCCATTAAAATGTATAATTGGTGTAGCTTTATAAATAAAATACACAAAAAATAAACATGAAAATATCTACTTTAGGTCAAATAGAATTATTTTTCATAGTAATATTTAAATGAATAAGAATAATGAGTTTTAAAAGTGTTGAGTCGGCTTTCGGAGAACTTCAACGGAGCCTCCAGAGGCCCAAAAGGAGCCGAAGAGTCCCAGTCAATTAGAGCATGATGGAACATTCTAGAATTCCAACGTGGCGTGCTACTATTGGTCAGTAGCATAATACGTCGTTAACGGATTGGCCGAACTATGATGTTGATTTAACAAACGCTAACATCTATCAATACCCATGTTTTATGTACAAAAACGAAACTTGTAGTATACTATTCCGCTCATACTTTGCGTCTTCTTTCTGGTGTTCAGGTCACTGTATAGTTCTAGCGTGCGGGTTATCAGAATAGCTTAGGAACGAATATAGCGTCCAATCAGCAAGACTTAACAAAAAGAAACCACAGAACTAGAGACAAAATAAATAAGAACTTTCGTCTAAATTTGAACGGACAATTTCACAATATATAGTGAATGAAATTTCTTTTCACATCACTTACATTTACAAACAATCTATTATCTTAACACTTTTCGTTTCATACCACATGTCTCTTATGCACACTAATGTAAATACCTACTTTAAACATTGTTCACATTGATTGGATGACATATTCAGTATACAGTAAACCAAAGAACCGTGTACCTAATTATATTCGATAATTTTGATGTTTGATTATATTTCCTTGAAATAGCTTGAACCAGATTGCCAAGCGAAACGTTGTATTTGCTTCAAATTCTTTTGCTGAGATTTTACAAATACATTCTTTCTCTTTAAAGATAAAATAGTTCGTTTTTATTAGCTTGTTATCATGTTTTCACATTAGTATATAGGTGAGTGAATTCTATAACAAGTAAATTCTGACATGTGGTGATGAGTTTATGTAAAAAGGTAGGTTATCTATCACACCTATATTTATCTTCCAGATTAACTAGATTTATAGACTCACTTTAAATGAGATCACACTAAACTTCGTAAATTAAAAGAAAGTGTGATAAAAATATACAACTTTATCCTCGTTCATACATTTGATACTAAAAATACAATAGTTAGTGTAAAGGATACCATTAAAATTATCTAATAGAACACATTCAATCGAACTTATGTTTCAATGTTTCAGTTTTAATACTGAAAAAAACAAAGGGATTTATATGATCAAACTTAACCTGTGAGTACAGGAGAACACCATATGGCCATTTTTATTTCCTTCATAAATTGTTTAGTCAATTTATTTGCATGTAATCGCAATAAACACGAAAGGATAGACCTTTTTGTTCAGATTATCATTGTTATCTAGCATTTTTATACGTTTATAGATATTGATGCCAAGGTTAGACTTGATAGTTTCAAATAAATTGAGCGATGGATAGAAAGTTTATGATAAATATATTTTTCTTATATTCCATTGAGTAGAAACATCAGAAATACAGTTTGTCTACTCATTGGAACATAATAAAAATATATTTATTATTTTATACGTTTGTATTCAGTGTAAAAACTAATTAATTGAACTCGTTTTCATTTCTCTCGTTATTGATTATAAGATGAACGAATCATATTTCACCATTCTCAATTTTAATCCATTTAAATGGTGTTTGAGTTCCTGAGAAGATTGTCAGCATTATCCGGAACTAATAAGACAGACTGCAGTGCAAGGGCGTGCATGGAGGACAGCTGACAGATGCATTCCAAGTAAGGACCGGAGTCAGACAAGGCTGTCTACTCTCTCCCTTCCTCTTTCTTATGGTGGTCGACTGGATTATGAAGACCTCGACATCTGAAGGAAAACACGGAATACAATGGACAACTCAGAATCAATTAGACGATTCGGACTTCGCAGACGACCTAGCCCTCCTATCACAAACAGATGCAGATGAAGACAGCCAGTGTAGCAGCAGTCTCTGCATCAGTAGGCCTCAGCATACACAAAGAGAAAACCAAGGTCCTCAAATTCAAAGCGGAGAACACCAATCCAATCACTCTTGATGAAAAAACTCTGGAAGATGTAGAGTCCTTCACATACCTGGGAAGCATCATCGATGAACAAGGAGGTACAGATGCAGACGTAAAGGGGAAAATTGGCAAAGCAAGGGTCGCATTCCTACAATTGAAGAACATATGGAACTCAAAACAACTTTCAACCAATATCAAAGTGAGAATCTTCAATACGAACGTCAAGGCAGTTCTACTGTATGGAGCTGAAACTCGGAGAAATACAACAACCACCATCAAGAAAGTACAAGTATTTATAAATGGTTGTCTATGCAAGATACTCAACATCCATCGACCGGATACCATCAGCAACAACCTTCTGTGGGAGAGAACAAACCAGCTTCCAGCTGAAAAAGAAATTAGAAAAAGATGATGGAAATGGATAGGGCATACATTACGCAAATCATCAAACTGCATCACAAGGCAAGCACAAACTTGGACGGGAAGTGAAAGGGCAAAGAACATGTTATTCGAGAAATAGAAGCAGATACGAAATGTATGAATAACAAGTGGAAGGAGCTGGAAAGGATTGCTTGGGACAGGGTTGGATGGAGAATGTTGGTGAGCGACTTTTTTTCCTTCACGAGGAGTAACAGGTGTAAGTAAGTAAATGGCCTTTATATTTGACCACTTAATCAGGATTTTTAAGTTTCCTAGTAAATTTCTTGTAGTCTTGAAGTGGTTTTTATGATACACAGCAAACCACTTAAACAGGAGCGTACTTGATATTTATGTTACTACGGTTTAGTATTTCTGAAAGTGTACATTCTATGATATTTGTATGTATCTATGCCAGATTTCCTGGACTCATACTCTTGAGCCGAAATACAGTAATCTATAAATCAGTTTATAACATAGTATGATTCTTCACCATACAATCAGTTTCGTGTTGATTCATCACTGTGAACTACAGGTTGATATCTATTTACAACATAAAAAATGTTGTACTCCATTATTTTCATTAGTTCCCCAATTAATCTCAATTCTATACGAAAAATAATATTTATACCGGACCAACTCGACTCAGCCATCTGACAAAACTTTACTTAAAATGATAATCAGTGTAAAAATAAAATTACTGAATTTTAAGTTCATTTGTTTATATGGTCACAAGATCAGGAATATATATATATATATATATATATATATATATATATATATATATATATATATGTCTACAAAATAAATAACTGTTAATGATCATCAGTATCTCTACTGTCTAACACCTTCCTAACAATCCCAACTGTTAAATTTGAGAAAAAGAAAATGAAATACACCTACTGAACTACTAGACATAACTCACAATCTTTTAATTCAGTGAAGTTATACAAATATGAATTTAATAATCTCTCTCTTCGATGATAATAATAATAATGATGATGGTGATGATATTGTTTATTTAATGAACATGATAATTTATTAGAATCAAATGATGAGCAAATATTTGAGAACATTTCTGTTGTAACATTATTATTGTCACACTTTAAGGGTAAAGAAAATTTTGTAATTGTATGAATTTTTTCATGTTGGATACTTTGTAAATAACGTATACGTGCTTGAAAAGCTGATTGTAAATCCAAACGTAAACCATTAATTGTTACCCTTTTAAAAATAAAAAAAAATGTTAAAATAACTAGACAACTTCAATGCATTCACAATATTTACAATAGTTAAGTCAGTAGTTTTAAGTATAAATATATTATTATTTCAGAATATAATTTATTGATGAAAATAATGAATTCATAGTGTGAATCAGTTGTGATAAGTTTCATCTTTTCTTTATCGATATAATAAACGGCAACTGATTAATCATCTATGGTATATATGCTTCTTGAGTAAATTGCTTTAATGATATCTTTATGTCACCAGCATTTATAAGTAAAGCTGTATAGTTAATGCAGTGGGATCAAGAACATGTATTCCACTTTACTGAGGACTAACCAACTGAATGTACCTGAACCTCACAGTTAATGTTTACAGAGTAATTCAGAACCAGTTTCTTCTTATTTAAACCCCCTAAATTTTTATCTATTGAGCAACTGAGTTCAGAGAGTTACCGGATGTTGCAACAGGAATTAATTATGGTTCACTTTTAAGGGCTTGAATCTTCCCATTGTTCGTATTAATGATATTTAAACTTTTGTTTATTATGTATTTTTTAAATCAAACTGATCGATTGCATCATTAAGTGTCTTTATGATTAAGATTCGTAGTTTAGTTGACTTATTTTATTCCCCGTGATAAATATCTCTATTGATGATGAAGTTCATTTGCGTGAAAAGCACTCTTTTGTAAATCTGGTACAACATATAAAGCTGTGGTGTTCTAGTCATTAAATAAGTGACTTAAATAGAAGCATCACAAATTAATTTTAATCAAATCTGAGATGATCGGCATAATTTGAAAGTCTCATTTTCAAACAATCACAAATGATAAGGAGTTATTTCAGATATTTGTTTATCAGGTCGTGTTTCAATTCCTGAGGTAGAGGGTCAGCTTATGAATTTTGACTGATTGTTTCACGTACAATCATTCATGCACTTTTCTATCTAGAATAGACACTAATAATGCTGGCCTGAACGTTAATGAAAATTGTCTTACTAAACCATAGGATTTATGGAATACAACATCACTAAAAAGATTATTTTTCTTAAATTTCTAATCTGTTAAGACAGAGTTTATTTCTATGAAACCATTTGTAAAATAATTTTGATTCTTCTCATTTTAAATCATCCACGACTCATGACCTTTAGTCTCAAGCATACGAGTTTCCAGTGTGAAGCTGTAACTGAAGGGAATTGACTATTTTGAATGCGAAACATTTGTACATCGCAGGCTATAGGATATGGTAAAGTAATCTCTTACATTGATTAAAATTAAATTTGTGTGTCATTTGATACAATCTTCCTGATCTAAGCGTTAATCCCTCGCGCACTAGACTGAATTTTGCAGGTTAAGTCCTAGATGGGACTGTGACTTTGCATTGTTGAAGAATGTCATAGTAGAACAAAATAACTGTTTAATGCTTTCTAATTTTCAGTGTTTATTTAACTAAAATCAGGTCGTAACATAAATGAGAAAATGTGGTGGTTTTTAAAAAAAAATAAATCTTCATGTGATCTCATAGCTTCGATAAATAAGTAGTTACAATATTTTTGGCAAAAAAAAATTGAGCCTCTGTCTTTAATTATGAATAAAAACATAAAAATTGCATTTAGTTCATTTGGAAAAGATAAAAAAATACGAATCTCTTCGGTGTTATGATTCGTTGTAAAGAAAATACGCCTTAAAGTTAGTACTATTCATATTTGCAAATATGATATTCAAATTGAAAGGTTAAAACAACTGATAATTCATATGTTTAGAAATGATTACAATTTTGACTGGTGTTAATACTTATCACCATGATAAATATTTCAGAACAAAATATTTCTGATAAAAGGTAACATATATGAAATCTAAGTTTAAATTGATGTAACCTTTATATCCACAGAATAATTAATGTCCACTCTCCTTCTCGAAATGCTCTCACACGGCCACGAGCATACAACCACTATCAGGGAAGTCTTACTCACTGCCTTATCGCGGTGGGGGTGTTATTTACGAAATTAAGAGGACGAAAAGCGAACTTTCGGTGCTTTAACCGGGTTGGTGGACATGGATAGTCCATCTAGAGGAGCTGGAAAACTTCGATTCCAAATCAATGGTGCACATGGGCTCCAGTATCCTGAAGGAACAAATGGCGTATGAACGAATCGTTGGTCACCAGCTGTCATGGGACTGCATCTCCTCACGATGCTCCACTGCCTTATGGATCAGACCTTTAGGTCAAAGGCTCGGGGTGTGGCCCTCTAGAAAACCACCTGGTTCGGTTTAGGCACCCGGACATTATCACAGCTCTCACACATCCAATGAGATTTGTGTGGCGCATATGTATTTGGTGCCTCCTTGTACAAATATCTATGTGTTAAAACAAATAAATAAATAAAATCTGAACTCCTTAGGTCAACGAAGAATCTTGGTGTTCGTACGAAATAATAATTCCTTTGGACTTGATTTCTGCCCGATTTCGAATTCTAAATACAATACATTCGTTCGTGTTCATCTAAATTTTATTGATCTAAATTATGTTATTTCAGAGATTCTTAGTTAATACCATCAATCAAATACTTCTAATTATCACCGAAAAAAATATGTTTACACATATAATGTAAAAGGTAATAATGTTCGAGTCCTTTGTAGTAAATATCAGCACTAGTATCTAAGTACATTCAATTGAGTAACTTTAAATACAACAAAACATTTGTCTTAAATTTCATCATTCATCATATAACCAATATAATAAATTACAGATTAAACAATAAATTAGAATTTATGAATTACAATATTTCAATTCCATAACTCATTAAAAAAAAAAATCTAATCAGTTTAATTTGAAAAAGCAAAACAAAAAAGATCAACATATTTCCAGTATACATAGTAACAAGATAAATCATCTCATATCATCAATGTATTACATTTATATCATTCATTGATCAATCATCATACTTTATCTATTGAACATTGAAATGATTAAATTTATTGTTGATTTGTTTGTTTACTTTTTTATTTTCATTGAATCATTTAATTCTTATCTATCCTTATTTGTTTGTTTTTTTTGAAAAAAAAAAAAAATGAACAAATAACTAAACTAATTATAATATTCACTAGTTGATTATTTATATTTAGATATGAATCAAGTCAACACATACTAATCTATTCTAATATAAATTTTATAAATATCTATAATTATTACTAATATTCTGATAGATATTGTCCATAAATTTATTTCAATTATACTATAATATCAGATGGGTTTTGTGGATATTATAGTAATTTTAATGGTTAAAATCATGAATCAGTTGAAGCTAGACCATCATGGAAAATCTGGAAGTACTGAACGATCGTTTCATCCTATTGTGGGACTCCTCAGTTAATTGAAACTAATTGAAATTAATTAGTTCATTGTATCAAATGAAATTTTAGTGGATACGTTTCTTTTCTTTTTTTATCCAAAGAAACAAAAAATGAACGAAGGTGGGGAGACATTTTATATAAGTGTCATTTTATTTGAAAAATTAACAAAAACAAAACAAGCATATGTAATTTATTTGATTGTAATTGACATTTTACAATGGAAGGTAGTTTTTAAATGATGAATAGTTATGAAAATTTAAAATAAAATACAGTATTCATTTTTGTTTATCAGTTTAGTGACGAAATTGAGGTGTTTTATTCTACTCAATATACCATAATTATATACTGTTATCTCGTTTAATAGTTTTATTCATTAATCAAATATTCTATAATTATTGTGGTAGTTGTTGTATACTACTTATATTTCTCGACTTAAATAGTATGTGAAATGTATGGTAGCAGAAAGTTAAGAAGATCGAGTTGAGAGAAAAAAAAACAGAAAGGGCAAAAGAAAGGAATTGTGAATACCAATAATCATACGGAATATGAAGGACAAACCAAATATTTAATACATAGTCCTCATATTTTAACAAGTTAGTCCGTAACTTAGTATTATATAATAATTTGGTTTAAAATAAGAAAGATTACTTCAGTAGGAGTTCCATTTTCGGTGAATTCATTTTCAAAGCTGTACAATCGGAAATGTATATACTTATTTTTACAGGATGATAATAATACTGATAATAAACTTCTGTTAGACATGGCGACAGCGAAGTTAAATAAACAAAGGTATTAAAAGAATTTTTTTGAAAACAAGGAAAGTTTAATAATCGTTTGATCGTTAATGGCTTAAGTATTCATCAAAAGATAGATAGCAAAATTATTATTGGGAAAAGGATGGCTCAGCATGATAAAGAAAATTTTTGAAATTAAGAATAAATGTAATCACATCGATCGTGGAAACAAAAATAAACCAGTTCGAGGTATAGGATTTTAGGGGAAGATGCAAGGGGAAGCAGATGGCTGTAAAAGAAGAAGAGTATGAGAAAGAGAAAAAAATTATAAGACATTAAGACCATGGTAGAAGAAGAGGTTGTACAAGTCTCTTTCGCACGCACAATTCTAGTTTTTCCAGATGTATGACTAATACTTCGGCAATGTAAAGAAGATGCAGTCTAATTGTCTTTGGAAGACGTCAACTTACCTTGTAGATGACTTTGAACGCAGAGTCTGTTTTGAGTGACCTGTATTCACAAGGTGTTCGATTATTGAACTTCTTATTTAGCCGTTTCCTCCTCCTTTTAGCCACTCCGGATAATGTTCTTGAATTCTTTTGGGTAAATTACGCATCGAACGACCTATATACCTAGCTCCACATGAGCAGGTAGATTGGTAAATGCACATTAAGTTAGTCAGATGCGATAATTTATCTTTAAAATTATTGGTGAACAATGATCGGTTGGAGAATAATATTCACAATGTTTCTGCAAAGAATGTTCTTTTAAAGGAATCAGAAATTTTTCTCTTTACGATGTATGTTGCTCTGTCACCCTTAAATTCGATGTTCATGTATAAAGTTTTCTTTTCTACTGTAATTATTTGTGTTTTCGAAGTTTTCGGCTTTATGTTTTTATCAATAAATATCGAAGGATACCAGTTTTTGATAAGTATCTCCTTTAAAAGGCCCAATTCTTCATCTATGACTTCGGGACTACAAATTCTTTTTATTCTTGTAGCAAGTGTTATTATTAAGTTTCTTTTCGACTGATGTAATCCAGTTGCAGAAACTTGATAGTTGACCATTCCACATGGGTTTCCTGCAGATAGATCTTCTTACAGTACCATGTTGCTTTCTTGTCATTTTCACATCAATTTGGTTTTCCCTATCTGAATGTTTATTCACTACAGTAGGATAATAATCAATTGGTATAGTTTTGGTCAAAATTGATGAATATTTCTTTGTCAGCCCTATTTAATTCTTTTATTTAACACAAAATTCTTCAATGATTTCAATCATTATACAAAGCGTCACCAATAAGTATTCGTATAATTGAATATTATACATTTAAAATAGTATTATTACGTAACCTATCTTATCACTGTTTTAATTCCATGAATCCTTCATTACCTCCAAAATTATCACACAATTTATGAACTCCACTAAACTATTATACCACCCATCCTGAATTATTTCCTTATTTCTAACACCAATTAACCTCTGACCTGTTCTTGATATATATATATATATAGTTATTATTGTAAACCTTTGTCATTCCAGTTATTTACATTCATTTATGTCAATTGTTTCACACTATTTCTTATCTCAATGTAAAATTCTATTACATATTTGGTTGTAAGCAGCTGACAAGAAACCTCGAAATATTATGAATTCATACTATTCTGCATCAATATTTGTTCTTGGTTTATTTAAATTCATAAAAGGCAACCAATTGCATAAAATAGTATAGTTCAACTGAATACTTACCTAGTAATACAACCTTGAAAACGTTGATATTTATTATGAATATTCTGAATACCTGGTATAAATAATCCATTTTCAATAGACTTTGTATAATTAATACCACCTAAATAGATAGTTCTACCAAACCATAATGTATTCTGCCAAATGTTTTGATAAACTTGATTGACTATTTTTAAATTTTCCATTAATTTTAATTCTTGTTCATTATTTAATACTGTTAAGTGGATATCATTACTATTATTATTATTATCACTATATTGATTATTTGGACCAACAGTTATCCAATTATCGATTGTATCATCATCATATTGTATTTTTACTAATGGCCATAAATCATTTAATGATTGATTATTATTTTATTGATTAACCAAATCATTGTATATTTAATTTGTAATTTATATTGATCATGTAATAATGATAATTGATTGAATTTTGAATTTAATTTTATATTAAACCATATTTGTTTATTTTTTTGTATAATAATATATAATTGATTATTACGAAATTCGGCACCAATCAATATATTCTTATTAAAATGATATTTATTGATTATTTGTTGATGATCATTTTTAATTAAACTATAATGTTTTAATTTATTATTAGTATCATCATTTAATAAAAATAATAAACCATTTTGTTGATTTGTATATTGATTAAATTGTATTTCTATATGAATCCATTTTAATGTATGAATTAAATTGATTGTAGATTTTACATTTTGTTGAATACATTCAATAGAATTTTGTAATAAATTCAATGTTGGCAATTTTAATATAATAAACATATCGTCATCATCATCATCATCAAATATTGTTGAATTAAAAGAAATTGATGATGTAATCATTTGATTCATTATATTGATTAAATGACATATTTGTATAAATTCAATAGGTTCAATAGTATAAGATTGAATTTCATTAGTTTGATAATGATGATGATGATGATAAGTTTTATTTGTTAAAGGGTATATTGATTGAATTCGAAAACCATGTAAATTAGATAAAGTAAATTCTAGAATATTCATTTCAAGTGAGTCGGCTTGAAAAACAGCCTAAAAATGTTAACATGGTCATATTGTTTAGTATTCATTAAATTACTTTTTGAAATTGCATAAATTATTTAAATGAGTTAAACAAATGAAAATTAATTAAATGATGAAAAGTTAAGTAGAATATTCCAGGTAATAAACATTTTGAGTTAAAAGGACAAATTTGAGATAATTTGCTTATGATAAACATTTACCGGCAGATCAGTCGATAATGGGGTTGGATGTGTAAGAAAAAGGTATTAAGTTGGAATCATAGTGTGAGCATAAATACCTGAATGTAATAACTTGCAGCTGACTATTCTTAAATAGAATAGAATACGCCTCTTTGATTCAGCCGGTAACCACAATTCATCTTTTTATAAGACTTGCGACCAAATAGTTTTATTTAAATAAAGCTTTAAGGATGTATATATTTATTACTTATTTAGGCCTTTTACTCATTGTTGAATATAGATCACCAATTGCTTACGTACTTACATACTTACGCCTGTTACTCCTTGTGAGGGAGCACAGGCCGCTCACAAACATTCTCCATCCAACCCTGTCCCAAGCAACCCTTTCCAGCTACTTCCAGTTGTTATTCATCATTTCGTATCTGCTTCTATTTCTCGACATAACATGTTCATTGCCCTTTCACTTCCCGTCCAAGTTTGTGCTTACCTCGTGACGCAGTTTGATGATTTGCGTAATGTATGTCCTATCCATTTCCATCATCTTTTTCTAATTTCTTCTTCAGCTGGAAGCTGGTTTGTTCTCTCCCACAGAAGGCTGTTGCTGATGGTATCCGGTCGACGGATGTTGAGTATCTTGCATAGACAATTATTTATAAATACTTGTACGTTCTTGATGGTGGTTGTTGTAATTCTCCGAGTTTCAGCTCCGTATAGTAGAACTGTCTTGACGTTCGTATTGAAGATCCTCACTTTGATGTTGGTTGGAAGTTGCTTTGAGTTCCATATGTTCTTCAATTGTAGGAATGCGACATTTGCTTTGCCAATCCTCGCCTTTATGACTACATCTGAACCTCCTTGTTCATCGATGATGCTTCCCGTGTATGTGATGGATTCAACATCTTCCAGAGTTTTTTCATCGAGAGTGATTGGATTGGTGTTCTCCTTATTGTATTTGAGGATCTTGTTTTTCCCCTTGTGTAGATCACCAATTAGCAATCTCCAACTAACTCTGTCGTGAGTTCCCATTTACTATTCATTCTTTTGATGAACGCTTCCATCCCCCTGTTCTGGCCCTTTTTCTCTACACTTGAGGATTCCAATTGTTTGCTTTGTGATCCAGTTTGATGGTTTCTGCAATGTATGTCACACCCACCTCAAACGTCTTTTCCTGATTACCTCTTCAGCTAAGAACAGACTTTTTCTCTGCCGTAGTAGTTTGTTGCTGTTGATAATTGACCAACGGATATTGAGTATCTTGAGCAGGCATTTGTTAATAAATGAAAATCATCGAAATCGGTATTGTTTACTTGGATCTTCACATTGATGTTTAGCACTGTAATTGATCAGTCTCTTATTGGCATATGTGCATACTTTGCGTATTCCCTTGATATTGTCTTAGTTTCGATTGAATCTGTTGCATTCCTAAACATCAATGGCAAGATTTAAGTAAACAATATCAAGTGAATTTAAACTTCACCCCGTTACACAAGCAAGTGTCTATCAGGACTCAGTAGCTGAGTGGATAACGCGATGGTGTTTGAAGCGGGTAGTATTGAGTTGTAGTCCCAGAGTGAACATCAACTCTGCGATGCAGGCACCTCCGGCTGACGAGTCTCAAATAGGACGAAGCGCGCGTCTTGGATTCCACTTCTATCCACTATCTACCTTTGCTTATAATACTGCATTTTCTGTTTTGACTCACACCATGTTATTTAATGGTAGAAAACTCTGGTGGTGCTTAATGTGCCATGTTTATTAAAATAGATATCAGTGATGTTCTGCTTCGAATTCCGTCCGTTCTCTATACTTTTCCATTAATTAATCGCTTAGTAGTAAACAATATCAAATTGATATCAAAAGGGTTTTGTGGATATTATAGTAACTCCAATGGTTGATATCATAAATCAATTGAACACAGACCACCATGATAAACCAGGAAGCAGTGGATGGCCATTTCGTCCCCTTGTGGGACTCCTCAGTTGTGGGATAGTAACTCATCGAAAACAGTGGTGGATGTGTCGCTTAATTTCATGGATCGGTTGTAGCTACAGATTAACACCGTTGAAAGCTGCTCAGTGGTCTAGTGTTTAAGCGCTCGCACGCAAAACCGATAGGTCCTGGGTTCGAATCCCATGAGGTGGGATCGTCGATGAGCACTGCTGAGAAGTCGCACAATTGGACGAAACGACCGTTGACTGCTTCTAGGTTTTCCATGGTGGTTTAACTTCAATCGAATTGTGATCTCAACCATGAAAATATCAAATTGTTTAAGCTTTAGTATTGCTTTAGTACTACTAGACTAAATGACTAGATACCTGTCAAACAAAATAATATTATCTGACACTTAATACCTGATTAACATAAATATTTCAGCCTTTCAAGCGATCAGTCATAGTAACAATAAATAATTAACACTCAAATTATGACACTGTATGTAACTGATTTCATAATCTATTACTTACTTTAGAAATAAAACCGATAAAATTATTATCTGATACAATCTCCATTGAATTCATTTGAAATATATCACCTAATTTATATGGTCCACCTAAAACAATAATTTGTGTATGTAATAAATATAAACGTTGATAATTAGATGGACCAAGCAGACGTGTAAATACCAAGTCGTTATCTATGTATACTTGTAACTGAAAAATAATTAAAAAAGAAATATATATGTACTATTTGTATAGTAGAATAATACATATTTACAAGATTGAACACATTTATTTTTAATCGGGGGGTTTTTTGTATATTATAGTAATTTAGTCGTTGAATTCATGAATCAATTGAAGCTAGACCACCATTGAAAGCCTGGAAGTACCGGACAGCCGTTTCGTCCTACTATGGTACTCCTCAGCAGGGCGCATCGACGATCCTACCCCGCAAGATTTGAACCCAGGATCTATCAGTTTTGCGCGCAAACCCCCAACCTCTAGACCACTGAGCCGGCATTATAATCATCAATGAATATTGAACTATTTAATGATGGTCCATAAAATATTCAGGGAATAATTCTAAAACTTCATGATTTTTTACATTGATAAACGTTGATAAAGAATTTGTGCATTTTTTTATAGTGTTGAATAAACGTGCGGTTAGATCAAACATCGTTTATTTAGACTGAATCATTCTAATTAGTTTGTTGGTTCTGTTTGACTTGTATATTTATTGGATTTTTCATATGTTGTTACATTTGATAGTCATTTTGAACCTGCATAGATGATCTGTTCTTATATCATGAAAATATACTATCAATTCTAACATTAAGCATTACAACATATCAAGTAAAAAAATACAGCTCAAATAATGACTGTCATTATTGAAAGTAATGACTTTTTTTTATTCATCTATCTACAATGAGTATCAATGATGTCGGGTGTGAGGCATTAAGAATATGGTAGCAGAATATCACAAATCGACTAAATTTAGAAACGTAAACCAATTGATCTAGGTTCAGTGACTGAAATAGCAAGCCCACGTTACAAGTCCTGAATGTTCGGAACTCAATCACTAGTGATGTAGTGGGTGTGTATTGCAGGTGAAAAGTCCTAAACTGAGACGAAACAACTGTTCAGTAATTTTCCGTTGTCAATGGTTCTTTAACTAAAATCGCTTCGTTTTATTGAATAAACAGCTCCTCTAGATAAATGTCTGTCTTCGTGACTGTCCGGTGACAAAAGAACAAGATTGAATCATTGTTTCAATTCTCTATGGTACAAGTTCACGAACTTGTACTGAACTGAATTTATAATTGGCAGGTTTCCAAAAGAGTATGATACCATTTAATTACCAAGTTAAAATTTAAGTCCCATTTAGGTCTTAGTTAGTTTACAGATTAACAATACTCTTATTCATTACCATTAATGAATTAGATTTCCACAAACAGTGTACAGGTTTTTCAACGAAAAACCTAGTATATCGTCCTTAAGCTTATTACCAGTTAGTATAAGTTTATTATTTGCGTAGGTAGTTTTGTAAAGACTTTGCAGAATTTGAAGGAAGCTCTCCATAAATGAGTCTTCATTTGACTTAAGAAAGTAAAATATGTGTATACAGTCACTTTCCAATTAAACATATCACTTATGTTTAACATTTATATATAATTTAATAGTTAAGATCATGAGTTAATTGAAGCTAGACCACCATGGAAAACCTGGAAGCGCTGGACGGCCGTTTCGTCCAAATGTGGAACTTCTTAACAGTGCGCATCCACGATCCCGCCTCGCGAGATTCAAACTTTATATATATATATATATATATATATATATATATATATATATATATATATATACCAATGAGTTTGATCTTGCCAATATTATAGAATGCCATTGGTTATCGTCTAGTCGTAATGTCGGGTCTAGTTTCGATTGAATCAATATATCCAACTGAAATAAACTTGATAGTTTGTTCTTTCGGTAAATGCCATGATTTTGAGTAATTGCATCATTTCCTTCTGCTAAATTTAATTGAATGTCGGTTTCGGTGATTGGCAAGTGTAGAAATACTTTGAGTAGCCCGTTGACTATATCTAAACGAAGTAATTGCGTTTCACTACCTGAAAAAGGCAAGCATAAGTTAAATGCAAAGTTAAATATTTATTAATTTTGCTAATTCTGAAAGTTAGTAAACTTATTTTTGTCACGAACAAAGTCTAATAAGACAGTTATTAAGAAACGATGAGTTTAGGATATCTGTTTCACCACAGTTTGGGAGTCCTCAGAATTAAGAACTTATGGTCATTGTAAAGATCAAACCAAAGACCTTCAGTTCTCATAATAATCACGACATCTTTGAACCGCTTAGGATTTTGTGATTCATTTAAGTATTTATACACTGTTTCCTAGTTCATAACAGTTTCTCGGTTGATCCCAAATTATGATTAAATTGAAATCGCGCAATCAATATAAATCTCTCGTGAAGATTGTGTACCAGTAGTTTTGGTTCTTCGATTTCATTATTTATTTAGGTTTTAGTTTATTTAAAATAAATATTGTCTCATGTGCACTGAGGTGCCAGAAGCGATAAATATTTCAAGCTGTTTAATAGATCACAACACTGTCATACGACCAATGTCTTAGTGCAAATTACAACATACATAACAAGCATTCAGTTCATTCTCTACGCTTAATTATTCGGCATGATATATTTTAATTCTTCTGTAGTGATAGGTGGCAACTTCACTTTTTTTAAACTTATAAGAAACTTCTATTTTACTGATTTTTCTTGTTTTAACCTAATGTCTTTGTTATTTAGGTGACATCAGTTTACTTGAAATACTTAGTCACCGTCAACTATATTTCACCAAGTTATTTTTGGAAGTGAGTTTGTTGGATAACAAATTTTATATAGATAAAAACAGAATTTTGTGGTTTTAGTCATCAGTTGATCTTAGACAGCTATTGAAAATCAATAATCACTGAAAACTACCTGTTTGTTGCTTGAAACTCTTCAGGAGTGCTCATTCATGCCTCGACTGACGAGCAAACCCAGGACATTCAGGTCTCATTGCATAAACTTAATCTTTGAACCAATGAGGTGCTATATAACGTCAAATAACCCTTAATTCACCCGATTCGTAATATTTGACAACCACCTCCAAGTGTCGTCGTCAGGGAACTCACCCTTACTTGACCTGAAGATCCACGATTCGACCCCTTGTGGGGTCGCAGACGTGCACTTCAGAAGTGAAAATCCATTGCGCGACGAAATAGCTTTTCAGTGCTTCTTATTTTCGAATAGTCGTCTAACTGAAGTCTTTCCATGATGTAAACTACAAAATACAACAATCTTCCTCAAACACCATAGACTGCAAGTGAAATAATTGTAATCGTTACAAATCTCGTATCTTTGAAAGCTGTAACAGTTGTTTAATTGCATCCTAACTTCTAATTCAAGAGTTATTATTTTTACTATTAGATGTCATATATCCCGAAAATTATTATGTTAAGTTATACTGTTGGGATAATAGCTGGTTTTTGGTTTAAAAGAATGAATTGTGGAGATTATTTCATTTTGAAGATCATTTGTGTTGTGCACTAACATTAGCTAACTTCAAAATAAATTACCCTACAATTAATAAAGAAATGTTGTAACATGCGATATCAATGAATTTCTTGTTGAGACCGTGACTTGAGATGAAACTATATCATAAATCGACTACAGTTACATGTGTTTGATTATTGGTGTTTTGACTTGATATCCGGATAATACAACATTCATTAAGTGGACCGACAGTTTTAAATCAGTTCCATGTAGGATGATAAGTACATACTATTGAATAGTACAAAGTGGATGATGATATAACCATTGAGTATCCATTTATCTTTTCTTATTCGCAATTTATAGTAAAAACTAGATTCTATTCAGAATCAAAATATAATTATATTATTAAACATGAAAATGTCTTTAATTTGATTTTTTAAAAATACTTAGAAATTTCATTTTATATTTGTAATTCTTTGTATCTTCTCATTGATAGTGAAGACTGTAATTGATCAATCCTTAACCACAATTGAATAATACAATCCCTTACAAATTTAATTCATTCCTGGTACACAAGTCAAAGGCTATCTAAACTTAGTAGCTTATAGAGTAACATGATCATTGAAAGCAAAAAACTATTGATATGATCATCAAAACTGAGATGTAAATGAGCTTTTCTACAAGATAAAAATAGGCAATCTAGTTTCTACTGCTAACCACTATCCAAAACATATCTTAAATAAACAATTCTTAATTTTTATTTAATAGGTGACCTGAATAGAGATTTATAATGAGAGAGACAGTAAATCTAAATGACTATATACATATATAATACATAATTACTTATAATTGATAATGAACTCATTAATATATAGATATAAGTAGAATAACTACTCTTAAAATCTTTCATACATAAATGAAGTATTCTAACTATTTTAATTGTTGAGAAATAAATATAATTTAACTATAGGTCAGTTTTATCATTATAATTTTGTACAAACTATACCTTAAAACATGATTTTTTTCTAAACATCATTTTGTAATTCTTTACATGGATACATACATATATACATTTATATAAATGTAAACGTATGTGCATGTGTGTGTGTGCGAGAGAGAGAGAGAGGGAGGAGTGAGAAGGTGTGTGTGTGTGTATGTGTGAAAGATTGAAAGGATACAAAAACAACACAATTTAAAGTGATATTATTATTCATGATTTACATTGTGGCTTCTTCATCTGTTTTTCTAGCTTCTATTGATAATAGTTTTTATTTTTTTTAAAGAAAAAAAAAGAAAGAAAAATGACCCTTTTCAAGGAACAGTTTTTCTTCTGTTTATAATTTATCTACATTAATTTTATTTTATATAGAAATGTTGTGATTGATTGGATACATTCAATTATCTTTTGTTGTTGTCAACTTCTATACATCTTGTTGTTATTATTATATTTTCATTAAATAATTTAGTTTTTTTTTCTTCAACTATAATAATGTTTGTTATAATTAGTAATAATTAATTAAATTGAAATATTCCCCCTTTTTTTAAAAAAAAGAAAGAACTAGGTGTAAAATTGGAGAAGATTGAAAATGAAAAAAAAACGAACGTATCAGAAGGGGTTATGTGGAGATTGTAGTAATTTCAATAGTTGAGGTCATGAGTCAATTGAAAGAAAGTAATTTATATATTTCACGATTGGAAAATTCCCATAATGTGATTTAGAACTATATATATATATATACATATCAGCGAATAATATTGTTTTTGATTAGATCCTTATCCGGCTTCTAACATTAATTCAAGAGTTTATTATTCTTATCACAACTAGTACATCTGTTATCATATTACCAATTTGTACTTTTCATTTATTTATGTAATCTATTCCGTTTGTTATCATTGACTTATAAACTGCCTTGATTGGTTTAATAATTTCGTATATGTACATAAATATTACTGTATATTAGAGTAACCCTTTCTATTTCTCCTGGTGATCAACTGGATTATCAAGACGTCAACATCTCGGGGAGAGCATATGATGCCGTGGAGAACTGGGATGCAGCTGGACGATCTAGACTTTGCAAATGATCTGGTGCTTCTGTCGCACACGCAACAACCAATTCAGGAGAAAACGACCAGTGCAGCAGCAACCTCAGCAGCAATAGGTCTCAACATACACAAAGGGAAAAGCAAGATTCTCCGATACAACACAGCATGCAACAATCCAGTCACAACTGATGGAGAAGATTTGGAAGATGTAAGAACATTTACATATTTGGGCAGCATCATTGATGAACATGGTGGATCTGATGCAGACATGAAGGCGCGGATCGGCAAAGCAAGAGCAGTATATCTAATACTGAACAACATCTGGGACTCAAAACAACTGTCAACCAACACCAAAGTCAGAACTTTCAATACAAATGTTAAGACAGTTCTACTGTATGGGCGGAAACCTGGAGAACTACGGAAGCTATCATCCAGAAAACACAGGTGTTTATTAACGGTTGTCTACGCAAAATACTTCGGATCCGTTGGCCGGACACTATTAGCAACAACGTACTGTGGGAGAGAACAAACCAGATCCAAGCGGAGGAAGAAATCAGGAAGAAGCGCTGGAAGTGGATAGGACACACATTGAAGAAAGCACCCAACTGCGTCACAAGACAAGCCCTCACATGGAATCCTCAACGCCAAAGGCGAAGAAGAAGACCGAAGAACACAACACTCTGGGAAATGGAGATAGACATGAGAAAAATGAACAAGAATTGGATGGAACTAGAAAAGAATGCCCAGGACAGAGTGGGTTGTAGGATGTTGACTGGTGGCCAATGCTCCATTGGGGTAACAGGCGTAGGTATATTAAAATAAAACTTAATGAGGATTTAATCGAAAATAATATTGTTCACTTATATATGCTGTTCTATTTTCAAAAATTGAACATTAATGGTTGAATAGCAGTAAGTTTAAAAATAATCTGTTCTTGTAATAGAATGAAAATAGATGGATACTTTATTGAAATGATTGAGAAATTGAATATTTAATGGTTGCTTGATCATAAGACTTAAAAAAGGATAGAATTCTGATAACTTTCTAATAAGTAAACATTGATTTACTATATGTCGTATTTCATGTCTTTTGAACGAACCTATGATGAAAGGGATAGAATACAGAATAATATTTTAAATCAGTGTGATATTTGTATGGTTTCTGTATAGTATGACACTATTGTTTTCATTAAGCGTAATATTTATTCAATATAACACGCAGAGTTCGATTATAGAAACCTAGTGTAGAATTCAACTTTTGTATTTCACTAATTCATTTATGTATGATACTGGTGGATTACTCATAAAATACCAGTAAATACTGTTGACAAACGAATGTGTTCAGTTGATGTTGTTATTGTCATATTGTTAGACGATGAATAAAGTTTCATCTTCTATTAGTTTTTGTCTTTGTTTTCTTAGTTGCTCCTTGAAAATTTCAGTGTTTTCTTATTTCTGCAGTTATAACAGTATCGGTTAAAAAAAGGATATTAGATATACATTTAATTTTACAGAATATTGTAATGTAATAATCTGTACTTTTCATTGATGCAATTCTATCTTATATTTAATTTTCCCCATAGTTCATAGCTTCATTCATCAGAGCTATAATAAAATTTTGTAAATTATTTACGCAATACTATTATTCAACTTCCACAATTCAAGTCTATATCCTTTCACAAGATTTCGGCTTCTTATCCAATTTACTATTTCGTGATACAACAATCTAATTGAAATGATAGAGATCTATAGTTCAAGTAAATGTTATTGAATTTTTTAAATAAGAAAATTTCATAATAGAGCTTTTATTGTTTACTTAGATAACATTATGAGCACCTAATTTATGTAGGAATCATCTTCTTAGCTATTCCATAAGAATCAAATCAGTTTGTTCTGTTTGTAAATTGATCAAACTACTTTATATATCATATGGAATAGATTATTTCATTTCCATAAATTTACAATACAAACTAATTCCATCTAGATAACTATTGGAAATCCAAGAACAATTGACATCTAATTCCTTTTATTTGAGATTCCTCTTCTAATGATGTTCACCAATGAACCTATTGAAGATTGAGCCAAGACTTTCAGGTCTCTTGACAAGCTCGTAACCTTTAGATTACCGAATAAATTCGGTCAATTTGCAATAATCCATAACCAATATACTTTTTTTATTATAATAACCCCTTTCATGAATCAAAATAATAATCACTTTATTTGGTGCCATTATTATTATTATCAGGGGTGAAGCAGTTGATTTTAGTAAAGAATGTACATTTTAGTGAAGTATAATGACAAAAAATTATTCCAACAGTTATTGTCGCGATTAAAATTGTACTGGAAACCCTTTCAGATAATCTACAAATGTGTCTTAGAAACACTGGCCAATATCTCTCATATATTCATACATACAATAGACTGAACAGTTTGCCAATTTCAGTTGACTTACACTTGATATTTGAAAATTACATTGACAGACGCAAGTATCGAACTGGCCATGTTTGCACTGCTTTTGAAAGTCAACAAGTTAAAAACCACAAAGTGGGTGGATAGACTTGTTAAGAGAAGGAATTTTAAAACCATTATTCAAATAAAACAATGTTCATTGTCCCGTTCATTTATTATAAACTGACTACACGTGTATGATTAAAATAATGTCTACATATCTGTCCCTACCCATTATAATGTAAAGTTCTCTCAAACACAAACTCCTTATTTCCGTAGGAAACATCTTCAATTGCACATCAATATGTTACTAATAAAATGGTTCAGTAGCATTTTAAATTTCACTGTGTTTTATGTTATCTGCTTTGGACACCGACCTCTAAACATTCTAAACCAAAAATTCATTTTCATTTTTGATGCAAAATAATTTTTTCATGATGAAATAAATATGTCCATTTCATAAATCCGAAATACATTTAGAATTTATCAAAATAAAAATAGCTCAATGATAACATTTCAGACTCGAACCAAAGAAACCGAGGTTGGTTTCTTCCATGGGGTACGAGTTGCTTTAGAACCGCCAGTACACCTCGTTATCGAGTACCAACCAACGCGATGCTCAAGTCCTAGGTCTCCTGATGACTGACTACCTCAAATCACCTAATGTGAACAGAATAGAATGACATAATTATCCCGTCTTTTTCACTTCATTTCTATTTCGGTACTCAAAACAATTAACTTGAAACGTTCAACTCTCTTCTGTTTCTAATATTTTTAACTAAACATCATTTACCAACTAAATGTCTTTTATCAGTCAACCAGAATTTATTAAGTAATTTATGCTTTAAAAGTATTTCACAACATAAATACTCAAAATACATATTTTAATCATCTACAATCATGTTCAAGTACTCAACAACAACAAAAATTCTAACAGAATAGTTACCTGCACAAAACAAACTTGAATTTGATTGTTTTGTTTGAAATTCAATTTCAATTCTTTCTTCAGTACTTGTAATTGGTCGATTTTTTAATTTATTTAAATGAAACCATTACCAGAGAAAGCAGCAATTTTTGACGGTTGTCCTAGAAAAATAAATAACCTAGTAAGATTATAGTGAACAAAACACCAGTGGGAACAATCGAATGTATTTGACACTAAATTACAGAGCATCTCACTAAAATCTGAGAACCGTATAGTAAGTCGTTAATTTGCAAAATATCAATCCATCATATCAAACCTGACTGTTCCTGTTGCAAACATCAATCCATTGTCTCAAATTTCATTATTCCTACGTTTTCATACCAGGTGCGTTTCGTTTTCGTTCTTTCCTCATCGACCTTCTGATGAAATACATTCTATGCCTGACCACCGTCATATACTACTTGTGTGGATATAAGTAAGCCAAACACAAAATTATATTTTAATATATCTTCAGTTCATATGATAGATTATAAAGTGATTACTGAATTTTCAGTTTATAAAATGTGAAAATTAAACTGATCATTATGGATACTGTTTCAGAAAGTTTATGTACTTATTCATAACTTAGTATATATTACAATTCAATGATTGTCAATATTGATTATCCACGAATCGTATAAGATACTCACTATCTGTATACCAAATAAGTTAATTAATGTCTAAACGAATTTCAACAGTTACAAACTCATTTATATATAAGAACACAATGATATACAATGAGAATTTGGTTCAATTTTTACTCAATTCACTGAAATACAAAACAATTAATTATTGTAGACATTTAATAGTATTGATTTTTGTGATCTGGATGGCTTATTGACGACTTATTCTATGGTTGATCTGTTGAATATCGTTGCTGTAAATTTTATACAGGAGTTACTTTTTTGAATTAGATTATAATGATGATGTTATTCAAAAAAAATTGCGGTTCATAAGTAAACCAGTCAGGTTAGAAAATATAACACTATCTAAAGGTTATATGATCAGCTAGAAAACAATTGTAAGCCACCTGTTCATCAGTATCTGAGCAAGCTCATGTTAGATCTTTTGTTTTGTTAGATAGAAATATTCGGTGCAGACACTGAGTCAGAATTTAACAACCAACAACGCCAAATTTTTATTCGAATTCCATGTTAGTAATTCACTGTCATTTTTAGGTAACTGTTTTACTTCTATGAAACGATTCTATTTCAACAATCATGAGTTTAGTTTAAAAATACGAGAATCCATTTTATAGAGATTTATTTAACTTGAAAATAATTTTCTTCATAAATTGACACTATTTAATTTGCTTAAAACAAGCTAATAATTAGTCAACCGTTTTACCCATGTTAAGATGGTTTTAGTGGCGGATACCAACATATCAGTTTAGATAAGTTCTTAAGGAAATCTAAATAGTTGTCCAAAGCTCCTTAATTTTCCTTTTTTTTCTCCTCTTGGTTTTAAACGGAATAAAAACCATCAGTGAAATAAGCTTTTCTAAATAAACAAAACTGCTAACGAATAATACCGTTTTATTGTTAATCTGCCTGTTCAAAGAGGATGACATAAATTAATTTATTTTTCCAGTTGTCTTTTATTTGGCAAACTAAATTGTTTATCATATTTCATGAAAAACAACTGGAAGATTATTGAATTGTACAACGTATCATTTATTGAACATGATTTAATGCGACCTCCAACAAGCTTACAGCTCATCAGATAGATACACCACCATCTCAAGATTGATACACACAATCATGATCAAACACAGTCATTTACGGTTCTCACAAACAACACATCATACACTCAACTACTCATTTCACATAAACGTTAGTTCGTGCAATTACCATCAATTACAGTTCATTTGTAATGGTTTATAATTTCTCATTGTTGATATTGATGAATCCACATATCACGAGAGTCTCAATCACAAAAAATTGACGAGTTGCAAATAGGATGAAACATACATCCTAGATTCAACTGTTAACCACTATTCATGTTTACTTGAACATTTGTGAATATGTGACAATATGGAGACAATCCATTCAATATGTATGTAGGTCTAAATTGACTGACCAATCACTATCCTTAATATTAATGAACAGATACAATCACTTACAAATTCACTATTACTTATTATTACAAGAAAACAGGCTTTATAAAGTACAAACTTTCGAACGAAACGGAAGAATATTGAAGTTTAAATTGATAATACTTATCGTTTGTTATCTAAATGTAATACATAAAACAGTTCTTTAATTTTTACAATATACGTGAGCAAATGTTGAGATTTCAATAGAAATATTATTAAAATTTAATAGTTAAGTTCACGAGTCAGTTGAAACTAGACCACTGTGGAATACCTGGAAGCAGTGGACAGCTGTTTCGTTCAAGTGTGGGACTCCCCAACAGTGCTCATCCACGATCCCGACCCGCGGAATTTGAACCCAGAACCTATCGGTCTATTATATGTATATTTCATGTATATTAAAAACGGAAATATCAAACGTTTCTACTAAGAACTTAACTTTTAGAATTAGAACTGTATTGTAACTAACAACAAAATCTACAAATTCCATTTTATTTTATTTATAACTTATCAACTGAATACTTCCAAATTTCAATGTTGATTTTTCATATTTTAACTTCAATTTATTATATCTTACTTTAAATACCAACACATCTATTGTACTAATCAAAAAGAAAAGTCCAACTATAAAAAATTTACAATTAACCTTAGAAACTAATTAACAATTATTTAATGTATATCAGGCAAAATTGTAGAAATGGAGAATTTAAACACAAAAATTATTTTTTTTTAAAAAAATATGTCTCTCTATATAAATCGTTTTACAAACTTTTTTCGTGCAAATTAGACTTTTTGTGTTTTTTTAAAAAAAAAAAGAAAAACAAAATAAACGTTCAAGTGGCTTTTAAACGTAGAATAATGCCTTCCGGGAAAAAGCGAAACACTTA